CTCTGCATTCATTGTAATGTGTGTTTAGAAGCTGAGTGATGAAATGTTAGCTTAGAGCTCTTGAAAAAAAATCACTAAATCGTATGCTTTTTATAGTATCTGAATCAATTTTTCCTCACATTATCAACACAGCGTTACAATTAAATTCAACATAAAAATTTCAGTTTCTCTCTCAGTGATCACTGTCTGTAAATGTTTTGAGTCATTGATGCACAATAAGGAATGTAAGGCAAATGCTAGCTTTAGCTGAAATAAGTGCCTTTTGAAGCTATATTTAATAGGTGCACTGCAGATTCTAGGCTGTCAATATCAAGACAAGTCACATTGTTATACAGAAATTCCTTCTCCCACACTAATGACTTCTGAGGAGAAAAACTAGTCAAAATGGGATCATAATCTGCAGTCTAATTTTTATTTTACAGTCAGATCACATTTCAAATGTGTGATCTACCTATTATTCTGGTTTTGCCAGCTGCTTTTGCCCATGCTGTGGTGACCAGAGGAAGCTGAGGAACTGAGCAGCTCTGCACATCCACTCACTCCAAAGCTGTTGGCAGTGACTTGACATAATAAAAGGAAGAAGGAGATTGGAGGAATAATGTATAACCTCATTTCACTTCCCAGAAACACACTAAAGATGACTGAGAAATTGATTTGTGAGAGAATGGAAAAAACACAACAAACCAGAGGGTTTGAAAAGTGCCAGAATAGAACTGCCAAGAAAAGAAGGCATTGTCCTGTGCCTTTTGGCATTGAGGACAGCAGCTGGCTGGGGGATGTAAGCAGCTATGAGAGGCTTTGGGCATCTCTGCTGGAGCAAAAAGCCTCTGCTCTGTGTGTTAGTGTTCAGGAACTCATAATCACAGGATATGATTATATGCAGGTGCTTTTATTTGAAGAGCTCTGGGAATCAGGGGTACAGACCCAAATCTGACTCCAACATGGTTCCGAGTGGAACATGCCTTACATTCTATTGTTATATAACTACATATTAATTATTAAGCTTATATTGTTCTGTTGTATACATTGATCTCATCCAAGCATGGATTTCTTGTGATGCCCTCTCAAACCCCCAGACATATTTTCTCATGATTCTTGTTATGATTAAACAATAATTAAATCTAATTACTAAGCAATCATCACAAATAACAATCATACCATTTATCATATTACGATTACACAGGTGCCTTTTCACATGATCTAGTAAAGACAAGGCATAACATTTTCCCAGGGCCTACCAAGCCCAACTTTCCTTCCAACTCCCTGAATTCCCCATGATTTTAGAAACCTTTTACTATCATATGCAGGGACCAGGTGTTCCAGACAGAAAACACCCTTGGTCATCCCCACAGGTGCTGATTTATCTAGGCTAAATTGCTGACAAGTTGTTTGGACAAAGGATTCTTAGTGGGCATGTCTTCCTTGTGTCACAGGAAAGTGCACAGTAGATAAAATAGGCATAATAATCCTTTCTGTGTTCCTTTCAGCCATTTTTATTTGTGTTCTGAGTCTCTGCATAGAGTGGAAGAGCAGTGTCCTGGATCTTGAGCCTGGGGGCAATGCTGTCCATTAAAAGACTCAGCTTACATTTGTGGAGCTGAACCAAGACCCATGTGCAACACTTGCTGAAACAACACCATTTCAAGCTGAAATGATTTATTCAGTATAACAGTTATAATTCACATTCTTTGCTGCAGTCTGTAGGTTTTCTATATGCAAGTGTCAGTCGGCTGTTTAGTTATTGCTGACTGTATTTTCTAATGTCCTTACACTTAATTTTTTGTAGTTTTCTTGTAAAACTCATTTTTTATTCTCTAACCCCTGCTCACTACACAGAAAACATCCTGCCAACTATTTTTGTGAAACCCTTTCCCCTGATTTCCTTGTTGAAGTGTTCTGTTTTACTCCATTTTCCTTTCAGGTTCCATATGTTCTACACAAGTGGTTTTCAACCTCCAGCTTTTATGGAGCCCAAAATTATCCTGGTGAAATTACAGTTTCCTGTTTATCACATTTAAGTCCACCTGATAATAGGCTTAAAAAAATAAAATTATGTACATTTTCAGATCCTTTAAAGACAGTTCACAGAGGACTCATATAAGGACGCAGCTGTTTGAAAGCCTCTCTTCTGAATGCTGACACTCATTCATCAGAGAAAAATCATTACTTTTTATTATATGTATTATTGTTTATTAGCTCCTGTGTTTAGTTTCTCTTAACATTCTCCATAAATGAATTTTCTTAAAACCTATTACCATTTCTATTGGACTAGGATCTCATAATATCTTTTTAAATTTCATTTTCTTCCCAGTGTCTCCCTTTTATCTCTAGCTGACCATTCATTACAAAGGTGGTGTTTATATTCAGTGCTGCAGAAAGACAAAGCTTTGGCAGTGTTAACAGCCACTTGTTTATTTCCAAACCAGACCCAGCACAGTTCCCATAGAGACTTCTCTCAGTGCTTTTCCCTTCTTTTCCCCTTCAGGAAATCAATGCCATTTTCACTAACAATGACAGATTGGTCCTCATACCTTTCTTTTTCTTCTTGTTGTTTTTCCCACTTCGGCCACTCTGGTGAGCCTGCCAAACAGTGCTAATTAGCAGTTGCTTAGATCTGGGCTCTGGTGCTCTGAGATACTCCATAAAACGGACTCACAGGGATGTCTGTGCATGCTGCAGGTGCAGATTCAGCCTTCTGCCATACAGTACAGGCTGCTTTTACAGCTGCATTGTCACTAAGGCATAGAACCAATCAATCATTCACTTCGTACAGGTCATTAAATGCTTCTTAAATGGTCTGAAATTTAAATAATTCATTGTGTAAGATTTGATTTGTAACATTTTCCCTGTCCTTGAATATCTGAATTGTTAAAAGAATGTGTAATCAGTACTGGAACCTATTATCCTTGGTTTAGGAATCCACTTGTATCACGTGTCAGGAATTCAAAGAAATTCAGTTTCATGCCCATGAAATGGATGCAGTCAGAAGGAAGATTATTTTATGAAGGTATGTGGAATGGCATGTAAACTAAATTACTTGAAACTTGTTTGAAGTATTCATGTGAAGGTGGTACACAAGGCAAAATGAAGGAGATAACAATGCAGGGTGATATGCCAACCTTTAATAAGACCAGGGTATGCTTTTTGAGCTTGGGGAGGCAGAAAACCTAAAAGCATTGCAGCAGGACTTAAACCAATGTGAGGTGATCACACAAGGGCAGTAGAATTATTTAAAATGCCAATATCATCGTTTTAGGGCTACCTATACTGAGGAGTGAGCTCCTAAAGGTACCACAACTGTGACTGAGACCAGAGCTTTGCTGGCACCATTCTACAGTTGTGGGGCAGGAGCGCGGCATACAGTAACTTGAATCCATAGTTTATCATAGGCATTCCAGAAAGCCAGAGATCTCCATCAGAGGTGGTCCCACTGCCTCTGTTACGAGATAATCCCTAGGGAATGACTACCTCTGGGTCATGCTGCAGCACCTCCTTCTTTAATGAAGACTTTGACTAAAACTTAGATACTATTTATATAATAAGATCATCCATCTTTTCTCACCTCCATAGAGTCAGGAATAAGGCAAAACCAGAGCTCCTGGTAACAGGGAAAGGAACCTTGAATATTTTCCAGATCCATCAGTGACCTTAGTAGTCCATTATAAATACAGATGGAGAATTTTGACAACAGAATGTAGGTGCTGTTTTTTAGATCAAAGAAAAGATAGAGAAGTAAAAGGTGGGATTCACTCAATTAAATATATATGTCTGAAGGCATCCATGTGTGTGCTGCCCAGCCCAGGTGTAGTCAGTGCAGAGAAACTAACAACTGACAACAAAAATCCCCTGACATCTGAGAACTTTTCAAATAAGTCTTTTTAAGAAGTAGGTTTTTAAAACAAATACAAATACCACCAAAGAATCCAGGTTGATATTGTTTACATTTTAGGAGGCAAGAATTGGGATAAGTGGGCACTAGTCACAGCAAATCATAGGCATCTTGGTGTTTTCAATTCAGAGTAGCTTGAGGACTTCACAGTCACTGTGCAGTGCTGCACAGGGCACCACACCTGCCCTTTATACTGCATTTTTTTTTTTTTTTTGGGGTGTTGCAGAAAAACTGACACACTGTAAAATGCCAGATTTCCCCTCTGGGGTGCAGATGTTGAGGAAAGGTGAGGTTGCCCTTGGCTTATGAGCGAGATTGTCAACCAAACGATGTTAAGTGGCGTCACACCAAGGCTTGATTAGCTGTAGGCATCCTGTTGTTTCAGCCAGTTTCCACACTATCCTTGACCCAAACACTCATTTTTAGCACTGGTCTCAAACATGTTTGTTTTCTGATCCATTCCCATGCTCAATAAACATTTCCATGCACAGTGGCCTAGGTGCAAAGCTGAGAAAGGCAACTAGACTAGAACTTCTAAAAGCTCTTGAGAGAACATTTTGCTTCTCTGAATTTTGAGCTTTTTTTTTTTTTTTCCCCTTCTGATTTGTGGAATCTCTCATTGTCTTTGAAGAAAAGGGCATTGAGGTTAGCTATCTCATGGGAATTACAGGTGGGATACTGATGTTCTCTTTTTTGGCATTCAATCATCAAAGAGAGCCACTCCCTCTTCTCATATATTAATATTCACACTTGTTTTTACAACAGAATTTATTAAAAATGTGCATTTTGGAAGTGGTTTTCAAGCTAAAAAAGGATAGAAGATAGAATGTCCATTACTTTAACTGCTTCTTCCATGAATGCCTTCTAGTCAATGAGAAGTGTTTGTGCAGGCTGCATTACGATGTATTAGTTATGTATGCATGCACATATATTTGTAAAATTTATATATGCCATATACATATATTGTGTAACTAGTGTTAGTGCTTCCATTTGCAGATCTCAAAGAACTTTGCTGAGCAGTCTAATAATTTTTACCTATTTCTTAGTAATGGGGAAGCCATGGTAGAAAGGGGATGTGACTTATTTAAAATCACATTATCAGGTCAGCAAGAAAGGGAATCTCTGTCTTTAATTTCCAATACAGTGCTGCATTGGTGGGCAGTGACATCCATCTTCTTACAGGTAACTTCTATTTAAAACACCTCCATTTGGAAATTCTAATTCAGTTGTCAACCTCTAAAAGAGAACATTTAAAAATAAAAAAAAAAGTCTGTAAAACGTGAAAAACAGGTCCTGCTAGTACTTAGAACAAAACTTGACCAATATCAATTCAAGTCTGTTTGCAGGCCATTAGTTTGAAGAAACAGTAAATTGGAGTCTAAAACTCCGAGTATTAAAAAAAAAAAGGCTATGACATTGATCCAGGATGAACTCACTCTTCCAGTTCAAATATGTAAAATGCGCCTAATCCGGTGGGTTAACTTTTTGCTGGCAGGCTTTGGAAGAGATCAGCTACTGTCTGTCTGCACCACTCCAATTTCATGCTGGACAAGTAGCATCTGTCTTTCTGAAGTCAGCATAAAGCCAGCATAAAACTGACATAATCTATGCATCAGGTCCTCCGGTTAATTTGACAGAGAAACAATGGTGTGACCGCATCTGAGCTGAATCAGTTTTGTCCTGCTGTCTAATCAGTGGCACTGAGACCTTGTGTTAATGGTGATGGAAGAGCAGCCCTAGCCCAATGCCCCGACCCCGCTGCTATTTCGCATTCAGGTTGCCTTGACCGTACCCAAACGCCCTCATTCACCGGGGGCAGGGAAGAGAGCGGGTAACTCTGCTTTCCCAGTTTCCCGAAACAGCAGGGGGATACTTGCTGCCGCCCCCCCGCTCCCGCAGTTTGCTGGGCTGCATCTCTCTCTCTACTGATACCCGCACCGCCGCCGCTGCGGCCATGGCTGCAGCACGCTGAGCAGAGCCGAGCGGCGGACACGGCGGCGGAGGGGCGGGAGGGACCGGCAGCGAGGGGAGCGGCAGGGAGCAGCCCCGGGCGGGAGGGCAGCAGCCCCGGGCGGGAGGGCAGCAGCCCCGGGCGGGAGGG